GAACCGCAGCATTCGTTTAACTACAGGGCCTGCCGTGTCCCAGAGAAATGAGCCATAAGCAGTTAAAGACAGGAAAAACACTTAGTAAATACAAAGCAAAAGAAAAAACAAACCAAACCACATGTGCATGGAGAAGGAAAGCGCAGCATGCAAACCCCAGAGGTAGCCCCAACACCTGACAAGTCTTGGTGATCCCAAAATTCAGAAAACAAATTGCCATCACCATTGGGAGCAGGCATTGCAAGATCGTAAGAGCTTATCCAGGCAAAGCAAAGTTCAGAAGTTGCTTTAGCTGCCACCACAAGCAAGAATAAGATGTATCAGAAGAATGTGCAATTTCAGAGCAGTTAGGTATCATGGAAACATCAGACTACTGAATAAAAATAATAATAAAAATACTCTTCGGAGTTTAAAGGGAATACAGTCAACTTAAAACATACAGAAAATGAAAACTGGGTAAACTAGTACAAAACATTCAAGATATTCTTATTTGTACTTTATATCATCTTAACACAAGCTGAATTGTCAAATTTAAATAAACTGTCCTACTTATTTGTATGAATCATTCACATTACAAGAGCTGTAAAAAAAATGAGGAATATGCATTTTTAACAGAAACTGATCTTGGCATAAGACAGATATAATAATAACAAAAAGAAAGCCTCTAGCTATGCCTCCCATTAAAATCCTGAAGGACTCTGATTCTCATTACCTCGATTTTTCATCTCTGACTAGTCTTTCCCATAATCTTGCTCCCCTTCTCTACCTCCTGGCAGAGATTTTACCAATATCAGAAATCCATCTTGCATCCAAATACTTCCACCCACAGATTACAACAGGAACAATTCAATTAGCTTACATTCCATTTTTGGAATCTTGTAAGAATCCTGCAAAACTAAGCCCACATTCATCACACGGGTTTTTTTCTAAGAGTATTTACAATTCTTGCTTTAAGTCAATGACAGCCCTGTTCAGAACCTCTACAGAGTAGGTCCTTCAGAATTTAAAAATTAAATTCAGCATTAGTTTCAGTGGCATAATGATGACAGACAGCACTGAAGAGAATTGTTGCAGAGCACGACTTTACTACTTACCAGATGAAATGAACTGTACAGCTTGCCTGTACTGAGGCCCCTTACAAGTAATATCTGAGATATACTGAAATATCTGAGGGACCGTCAGCAATATCGCACCATTTCTGCTAAATCCTCGGTGAAAGGCACCAATATTTCAAACAAGACAATCGTCTGAATTGGAGGATGATCATCTTGAGAAGGCCTTACCTATTCTGTCACTACCTATTTAATTTTGGAAATGTGAAGCTATATAGTTAAGAAAATTAATGTCTTGGAACCAAAAAGCAAGAAGAATGCCAAATTTTCAGTTGTCAAACGGGAGCAGTTTCCAGCTTCCTGAACACACAGAATACAGTCATACTGCCTCCAACTGCACAGTGAGCTCCCTGAAACTGCAGTAGATGTGGATGTACTATAGCCCTGGCTACGAGAAGCATGGTAAATACATCTCGAATTAAGCACGTTAATATTAATTGCAAAGACAGTAAGACAGCAATTGCATAGCGACACTGCAGGAGGAGCAGAGCCCCAGCACATCTGTGGGTACAAAGAAACTGTTAACAACCCCAGAAGTACCCAACAGGATCTACATCTGAGAAATTCCTAAAGCTTTCTCCAAAACACATACATACATAAATATTTCAAGGAGCCTTCCGAGACAGGCAGGAGCTAGAACCCATCATTATCTTACTTCTGCCTGCTGGCCTTAGATATCAGCAAAACTGGCGTGAAAGCAAACAGCTTGGTGTGTCTCTAGATCTGCACAAACAAGATTCATAACCACAAACCCTGCTCCCCTTAGAGTTACAACCTCCTGATGAAGCAGCGCATACATTAGTTTAAGCAAGGAACCACACACACGGACTGTAAGAACCACAGGACTACAAAATCTTATCTTTATTTTTCTTCAAATCTAACCAATTCAGAACAGGAAAAGCATTTAATTCAAAAGCATTACCACCATTTGCAAAAGAGATTGAGCATTTAAAGTAAAGAATTCTAAGCATCTGCTAGGAGATAAAAATTAATAAAGTATCTCAATATGACAAAGCAAACAGTTTAGATCCTAAGTCAACTTTATTTTGCATTGTGGATATTATCGGCTGTAATTCACAGCTAAGAATGCAGCTGGAGAAAAAGCTTCTCAGGCTTATCAAGATTTTTAAAATTTAAAGTGTCACTACTACTACAGGCAAATAACAGCAACAGCTTAAAGACTTTTGCTTTGTTTGAATCAACAATTCTTGACTTGTCGTTTTTTCTCAAAAGAAAAAAATCTGCCCAAAACAAATTACACATGCTAAATCAGCGGATAGTAATAGGGCAACTTTTTTGGAGCTTCTAAGCCACTTTTGTGTTAGTTTTGCTTCTGTCTCTGACAACAGAAAAATAAAGCAGAGATGACCAAACACTAGAGCACAGCAAGTTCAACAAATTTGGAGAGAGATTATGAGATGGAGACAGGCAGAAAAAGAGAAAAAAAGGATAAAGTTAAAGCACATTGAAAAGGGAAATGAAACTGTGTCAAAATTGGAATGAAAGCCTTCCCCCTGGCCAAAGAGCTTTAGAATCTAGATCCTTACCAGAAGTAACATAGTAAACAGAAGGCCAGCACTTCATACACTAGTTTTCTTTCAAATGCTAACATATTTGAATTAACAGAAATAAATACTAATTAATAAAAGTTATTAAAACAAAAAAACTGTAGTTGAAAGAATAAACTTTGGTAAAAGGTGGGCAATGTAATTTTCTCTGGCAAATAAAGCCCAATTTCTAGGCAATGGACAATCCTGCCAGTAGCAAATTACCCCAATACGTTGTGTGGCTGAACCCACAGGAGTTGTAAGTATAACAATTCGTATCAAATCTCAGTTCTCATTTCCCAGGGAAAATCACAACCAACTCTCAAAAGTGCTCTCATAAATTTTGCCAAAATGTCCTATCCAGCTCACTTTGGTGCAGCAAAAAAATAATTTTGAGAAGATGTTACTCAAGCTTGATTTTTCATATCAATAAAATCATATCAGTAAAAGCAGGCTCAGAACCTGTTTACGCTCGAGCATGGAAGTGGAACCTAAACATTTCAGAGCAATTTGGAACGAGATCCTTGGCACTAAAGAATCTGCAAACCTGCTCCTTTCACAGCACACCACCAGGATACAGCAGAGAGGCCAGAAGGGATGCTTCACATTTGCTAGAAACCTGAAGCGTGAGAGGATTCATAGCAAACAGCCTACTCCATGCAGTTATATCCTACAAACTCAAAGAGCAATGAATTTAAATAAACTTAAAGGAAAGTAACTCCCAGACACAAACAACATGTGAGGAATTCTAGTGATACTGATAGACAATAACGAGGAATAATTTGCCTTCTTGCACACTGTGATTGTTTCAGGTGCAGCAAAATCAGGAACTCACCTCATCGTACTGTGAGTAAAAGAAGCCATTAATTTAGAAACAAACAAACAAAAAAACAACCCCACGACCAAACCCAGAACTTTTTTTCCTGTGAAGTATGTGAAAGTGAAGATCTCTAACTTCTGTTTCAAAAAAAATACATTACTTATAAAGGATACGGTCTGTACCAGGGAACAACGTTCTTCCAGTCAAGAGTTCAGCCATAATGCATCCCACTGACCAAATATCAACTGAACAAAATAAAATAAAAAACAAAACAACGTAATGCAGAAAAATAAAGTCTCAATAGAATCACTCTACCCAACAAACAACTTTATCCTTAAATAATCTGATAGCATTGAAACGGAGATACGCTGCAAGCTAACTGTTCAGTAACTATGTCGTCTGAGGCAAATTTTCCTTCCACAGCATAACGTGCACTGAACACCAATGGCGAGGAATCTACACAATCAAAGAGGAAGAAACCTGTTCAAGACAACTCTGAGGAATGAATTTGCATATGGCCTTACATAAATTCTACCCAAACAGCCACCACTTGCAGATACAAGACAGGTCCATATACATGCAAGAGGAAAAGAGAAAAGAAGGAAGAGTAGTGAGGTATGAAATCAGAGTAGCACATTATTTTCTTTGATCCATATGCTCTCCTGTACAAGAACTATTCTCAGAATTTGCTTTTCTTCTCTGTGCCTGATCTGGAGGTATTGTAGGAAAGCATGATGTGTTGCTGAGAAGATACTAGAAACTGTGAGGAAGATACAACTGTGAAGAAGTGGCTAGGAAGAGAGCAGAGGAAAGAGATTTGTATACTTTTTAGCATTTCTTCACGCTGTAACTCCAGGCATTTTTCAGTATATTCCCAGATACATTCCATTCACTTACTTTAAAAATCCCTGTGCTAGGAAAAATAAGGGATAAATGCTGACAATATTTTGCTGAGTGCAATTTCAAAGGTTCTAGTTTAAAGAAGTCTTGTGAATGCTATCACAATGATTCTTAATTTACATCTGGTAGACGACTGTGGTTCAAATACTAATCTATGCGTTCCTGCTTTTAATCACCCTTACTCAAGTCTAATTACCACGACTGCCAACGTAGGCGATCAAATGGAAAGGAGCATGTGCAAAGGACAACCTCTTCTTCCCACAGTTCAGGAACCGAAAAGCCTCATGTTAGTTAAACGCATTACCTGTCTGGTTGTAATGCATCCAGTTCAGCATGATCTCAGGAGCCCGGTACCATCGGGTAGCCACATACCCGGTCATCTCATCATCCGTGTGGCGGGCCAAGCCAAAATCCAGGATCTACAGAACAGAAAAGACATACACCAACCACTGCAGTGGAAAAATGCAAACTAGTTAGAGCAAATATCTAGGCAGTTATTGGATTGGGTGGAGGAGAGGTGGTGCAACTGCAAAAGCAGATTATGAAACTAAATTTCACAACCTATTAAAAGACACTACAGAGCACGGGACTTGACAATAAGAATTACCTCTGGATATCTCCCCTCTGAAATAACTAAACCCAAACTAAAGCTGTTAACTCTTCACTTTCATGATTCATCAAAAGCACAAGAACAGATACAGAAAAAAACATCCTTACAGCCCTTTACAGCTGGGAAGGACATTATTAATTCGGGCCACAAAAGTATTTCTATACGGAATGATTTTGTCCCTTTTATTCCAAGGGACATCCCCAAGGCAATCACTCAAATCACAGTCAAACCAATGAGACCTTGGGATACCTTACCTTCAGCTCACAGTCTTCATTTACAGCTAGGTTACTAGGTTTTAAATCCTAAAAAAATAAACAACATCAGCATTAACAGCAGTATATATGTTGTTTTACAAGTCTAAAGTATATAAAAATGTAAATGCAGATAGAAAATAGATTTTTTTTTTTTTTACTGGCTGTAAATATCAACTCTCGATGCAGGGAAATGATCCCAGAGTCGGCTTTCTCTTCTGTGGTCCTCAGAGGTGTCACACAGAAGCACAAACGCATACAGGCTTACTGCAACACCAGCACTGTAGATGCTTATTTAACAAACAGAGAACCTACTTCACAAAGATACAAGTCAAAACCAGGCAGGAACAGAAACTACGGATTTTGACAACTGCTTCCCATGCTTAACCTTTTGACTGTTTAGCCGAAATAATTCTCAGAAATTTTCTTCTTGTTTCTATAGGTGCTGCACTGTAAGATTCTGCGCTACATTTTTAAAAGACATTAGTTCAGTACAGGAAGCAATCTTAGGATAAATACTCACCCTGTGTATTATGTCAGCTGAATGGATGTACTGTAAGGCAAGATGACAAATATTATATAACAGTCCAAGCAGCATCCTGCTCATTTCTTCACCAGCCAGTCCTGCCCTACCCCATCCCACACAATCCAAATGCGTAGCTTGGCTGCAGAAGGAACTGAGTGTGTCTCTCTACGGGTTCTGAGTAGGCAGATGTTTCACTTTGTCTCTCCCTAGGAACACCCAGGAGCTCTGCCACCACAGGTGGAACAACACAAGTAAACAAAACTGAAGGAATGGAATATTCAGAGCCAGAGCAGACTAGAGGGCACAGCATAATTCATAATTTTCCAGACTCTGCCCATAGGAACGCATAGAAATATCTTCTTAAATGATGCACAGCTTTACTGATACAGAGCCCCAAAAAGGTATGAAGGGAAGGAACAATAACAGGGTATCCTACAATACGTTAGGAAAGTTTGATAAGCCCCACTATGGACTCGTATGAATCTCTGAGGATATGGCATTCATCAAGAACTTCCACCTCCAGTTGACGAGCTCTCAACATCCAGGTAGGACAAGCAAAAGCACCTTAAGTCCCCGAAGAATCTGGTAAATGAGGAACTGCACATGATCATCAGTGAGTTTCTGGCATTTCACAATGTTGTTCAGATCTGCTCCCATAAGGTGTGTCACCAAGTACCTGCAAACAAAAGGAAACACACGGGCTCTGAAGCAATCCCTTCCACCAGGATCAGGATAAAATTTCCCTATGAAGCTCCAGTAGCAAGGCTGACTGTCCCAAAGCATGTTGCTGAATGAAATATAGCTCATGACACTTTAAATAACATGGCAGATTAGTACGTCAATTCCTACAGCACTGGTCAATAAATCCCAAGTGAGTAAGTTAGAAAAGTCCAATAGTTTAGGATCTCCTAGTATCTTTCGTGTTGGAATTCAGAATTATTTGAGAATGATGGCAGATAAATTACAGTGGCAAATGTTTCTATAGTATCTGGGAGATGCAAGGAAGATACAAGAGATGTTTTGTTGCAGTCTTCAGAGAAGTTACCTACACATCATTGAATTCTTCTAGGGACTTGGCAGGGGTGAACACATCCAACAAACCAATCACCTAGAAAGAAAACGGTAAAGTGAAAAAGCTGTGAAATACATTCATAGGATAATATGATAGTTACTAAGATCCTTCGTGGAACAGAAACAACTCATTCCAGTAAACGTTTCATTTCCAACTACGTGAATCATTCAGATATAGACAAATTAGTACTCATACAAGATCAGAAACAAACATTTAATTCTTGTGTAAAAAAAAAAAATTAAGGTTCAAAATATACAGCTGTCTTTTCACACCAACCATCGACTCAAAGCATATAGGGAGCCATAATGAAAGGCAGGTGTAAACACTGGTTTAGAACAGCTTCTAATTCAGGAAATAAATGGATGAGAGAAACAAAAAAAAAACAATCACCAGACAAAACTGTTTCCTTCCTGCTCAATTCTTAGTTATACTGCTGACTACATACTAAAATCAGAATTGGGAGACTGTATTTGTTTCACTTGTATTGAGTAATGGCCAGAAAAATTGAAGGATTTGTAACACAAGCAATGAATAATAATGACTACAGCAGAAAACAAGCCAGGAAAACAGTGCAATGCAGTGAGGACCCAATTTTCACAAACAGCTTCACGCTGTCATCTGTATTTTCCGCCCAAAGAGCAGGTACTCCACCTTTCATTTTACAGCTAAACTGTTCTGTCAGTAGAGCGTAAAAGGATATGCCTGTGTCACTTTGTGGAAAAGAAGAACCATACCTTATTATCCCATAATTATCTTCTGGGTCACCTAAAGCATTTTTAACAAAACTCCATCTGGTCCATAAAGTTTATTCTATTTTTCACTGAAATGTACTTTTAAACCTTATTTTCCTTGTCTTAATAGCAAATAACATTTTATGAAAATATGAGATAAAGGGCTAGCTACTCTTCATCCACTTCCAAAAAACTCCTCTTCCCTTCTCAAGTCAGCATCTCACTTGTCTCGGATACACAAGCATCACACACATTTCAGCAGCTTCAGTAATGGTTTCAGCATGCACTGAAACCAAGAGGTGGATTCCCACGTTCCCCTTCGCTCCATCCTTCTTATCCCATTTTTTACACTTGTCAAGGATGTCAGAGTCAATTGAGTTACCTTTAAGCAGAGAATTAAGGACAAAATCTTTTGGGAACCTAGACTGTTTTTGGTAAAGAGAGCAAGTGCGAAGGAAATAAAAGCCCCTGTCTAATCTATATTATAGATTACATTTGATTGAGGAAACTGAGGAGAGAGAACACTTTCCTGCCTTTCTTGCTATACATTGCAGCAACTCTGCTTCTAGATGGACATCTTCTTCAAGCTGTAATGTTCACATCTATCCCGTATAATAATTCTCACCATTACAGTTTCTTTCTCCACTGGACTCTTCTGGTTTTACAGAAAAAAATCAGCATTATCCACCCAGTTTAGCATGGAGGGACAATTTGCCTTTGCTATCTAGAGTTCAGGTTTTTTTCATTTTTATCTTGCTACACTGTAAAGCACAGTATCAAACCATCCCTATCTTTCATCAAGTTTCACAAACAAATACAGTTATTCTGCACCACATCTGACTCACTTCTAAGGAAGTGTGAACACCAGTAGATTCAGAACCCATCTCCTAACCTTCTGCTTTCCCCTCCCAGCATTTTAGGATGTCACAAAGCTTATTAATTTCTTCATATGACAACAAACCCATTTGCTCTCCCATCTGCTCAGTGTTGTGCTTTATGCAAACTAACAAGGCTTCCTGGAACTTGAAAATGTAACACAGGCACTCTCAAGTGCTCTGCAGGTCCATTTATTTGCTCAAGATAATCAGGAACCAGACTAGAGCCAGGATATAGAAAACGATTCTATGCTCAAGCTCCTTCACTGCCATACCTACCACATCTGCCGGTTTGTTCTGTGCCACGTAAAACCGAGTGTTTTACTTCCGAACCAAGTTATGAATAGTCAAGACACTATCACTAATAACCCTGCCCGAATTGGCTCTGAACATCTCTGCATCTGCAGGATTTTTAAACCACAACCTAGATAAACTTCCCACAGATAGCTGACGGTACGATGAACTGATAACAAATATGTCTATATATAAACAACTTAACTTCCTTTTATCACCTACTCTCAAATCCAAATCTACATAGGCTCTTTGCAACACTAATCCAAAAATATAAATCCAAAAATATTCATGAATGTCAGACACAGAACTGTTGTAGCGCCAGTTGCAATCTAATTTTAATTGCTTAACATTATTAGCTTAGACAAAACACATTGATATGCTGATTTTTTTTTTTTTTTTCAACAGATATTCAAAGCTTTCCTGTTTGGAGAATGTCTCAGCTTTGAGAAAAGGTCCAGAAAAAACTCTAGGGGATAGATGGATATTAAGCAGGACCAAATGCTACCTCTGCTGTTGAGACAATGGTATCGTACAGAGGCACTGAGAAAGAATTGTTGACAACAGCACATATCGGCATCAAAAGTTCCAATTATGTGAGCCACACTAAAAACAACAAGATTTACGGGATACCAGCTGCTGACTGCGGCGGTTAGAAGCCACAACACACAACCACCACTGCCACAACAGAAGTTCTGAACAGACCAAAGGAGAAACTTCCAACAAAGTTAACGCTTGTCTGCCTTTTTGTGCTAGATTAAAGTCCTAGGTTTGCTCAGCCCACTTCCAAAAGAGAACTTCCCTTCTGCTAAGTTGGGGTTTGCTTGGAGAAAAAAAAAAAAGAAGGCAAGAGCCTTCCTTTCCTCTTGACATTCTGACAGCTCTGCGGAGGGCAGGTGATGAGACTTTTTGCTCTTCTGCATGTCACATTTGCTCCAGCCAGCACGCGATATGTCAGTGTGTTAACGCCACAAACACACAGAGCTGGTCAACCAACTCTTTTCCATACCAAAGGGAGGTTATATCACAAAATAGTTCAACATAACTTTCCTCACATCCTATTTGGTTTCCCTGTTGATGATTTCAGCGGATGGCTTGTATGAAAAGCCATCTGACCTCCACGCACTCCCCCTTTTTTCCTCCCTATTTTACCTGCGGGAATCTTGTGAACATCTACTCCACACTCTTCTGACACAGGCAAGCCAAAACAAACTATTATGAAAAACATTCCAGAAGACACTAAAAACAAATTTGGAGATTTTCTTTTTTTAAATAAATTTTTTAACATAACAAAAACCACAGCTTCCTACAGCAACCAGGTAGGAGAATTTAAGTGACATCACCCATGTCCTAAATCCTTAAGAGAGCATGAACCTGCTAAGCAGTAATTTCCAGATTATTCTAGAAAATATTTTTTAAATACAAAATTGGTCACGTGGGTTGTGGTTTTGGTTTTTTTTAATCTACATGCTTTTCTACAACCACAATCTCTTGGACTACTGCAAGCTTTGTATTTCTATTAGAAAAACCTATGCAACAAGACCCTTAAATGCAATCATGCCGGATGCTCGCTGGATAGTTCAACTTTTCATACCATCTTCTTCAACTTACATTTTCGTGTTTCATGTGCTTGAGTAGCCGAAGCTCTCGGTAGGTCCTTTTGGCATGGATGATAGACTGAAATGGTCGGGACAGCTTCTTTACAGCCACACGCAACCCAGTTTTTGTGTCAAAGGCAGAACTACAACAAAGAGTAATCAAATTATCAAAACGAATTCGTTACAAACACCTTCAAATCCACTCTTAGCAACTCCAGATAGCAGCTACCCAGACAGGGAATCACAGTCCATGCCATTTCTCCACTTTTGCAATGAAAATAATTTCAAGGTATCCTGGTACACAACCTGCAGCCCCACCCAAAATCCCCACATATTTACACCACTGTTGGTTTCTACAGAAAACGTTCAAAAGACTAGTCTTGTTCACACAGTAAAGGGAAACTCTGTAGAAAAAAAAAGTGTTTATGATTTTTCTCTCTAAAAACAGTTGTGCTCTTAAACATAAATATGGCAATAAAAGTCTGGAGAGAGGAGGAGTACTTGTAAATATTATCTGTATTCCTAAACATATTTTCATACACCACACTTCATCACAAAATGCTATCCTTTATGGTTTAAGTCCATACAAAAATCTAAGGCCTGTGCCTAACAAAATCAACTACGAAGACTGTCAATCAACACCGAAGGTGAAATCAGACCTCTCTGGTAAATCACACCTAATCCTGAACTCCTGTTATACAAAAATCCACATGAATTAAGTGATATTTACCGGTATATTGCTACAACTTGTCCCTTTAACAGAAACTTATACATAAAACCTGTACATATAAATAATTTTTCTTCTTAGGACCCATGAAGACTAACTCCAGCCTTCCCTATAAGGGGGCACCCGCACACACACAGTGGAAACAGCTCTCTGGAAAACATACAAAAATGCAGCTAGACAGAAGGTCACAGGAGCACCAAACTGTCACAGCTGAATTACTCGAGCTATACCACAGTGCCTCAAAGAATGCCCGTTATCAACCACTTCCACACGGGTTATCCTTTACACCTCACTCAGCCTGGGCGGACAAAAGAAGCCATTAAGCATTCAGGTTTTAATTTTGATTTCAAATGATCTTCAGCAAGTCTTCATACACCCCTAAAATACTGATATTTAAGCTGCAGCACTTCAGGAAACAGAGAATTCAATTTCTTTTTAAGCTTCATGTACACCATTTTGCAATATACAAACACACTTAATTCAGGCTGTCATTAGATGACAATATTTTAATGATATTCAAGGTGTTTTCTAGGGCTTAGAGCAAATATAAGATTAGTCATCATAACTCCACACATGCTGTTGTGAGTTAGTCATGAATCTTTACCAGCTTTCAAACATTCTGAGCACAAAAGGCAGCACAGAGCAGGATCTCTTTCATCCTAGAAAGAAGGGCATCCCCTACACATCAACCACCTTCACAGCCACCCCGTCAGAGCTCTCTCTCGGTTTCCATAAGATTCTCTTCAGAGATTTCAGAGCCACCAAACATATCACAAGCTATTTCAGAGTCCAAAGGAAATTCAATTTCACCTTCTTTTTAACAACATTTTTGGGGTCAGATCACATTACTGTTCCACTCTAGTAGGTGTACAGCCTCCAAGGAGAATTGCAATCAGCAGCACTGAGAAGCCACTTCACCAGCACAACGACATTGTGCACAAGCCCCGGAAGGAAAATGTGTTACCGAACATTCGCAATCCAGAGTAACTCTTGCAGTCAGAAGTATTCCAAGTTCAGTCACATTTGGGGCCTGAAGACTCTTTGCCTACAGATAAAGGCATGCTGAGTAACTTTCTGCCAATACAGATAGCTGCCTAATGGCCTTTGCGAGTAGGGAAGGCAGAGCTGCAGAACAGCTGTCACGGTGCAGAACACTTTAAAGAACACTAAGCTGGCTTTCATCACAGACTTAAAACAGCTGCATTACACTGATCATATTTCAGCTAAAAAAGCCCAGTCGGGGAAAAAATGGCATGATCCAGTTTAAAATCCCTTTTAAAACAAGATCAGCACAAATTCAGAATGTAGCACAGCTTCCACATTTTTTTAACCCCTGACATAGCACTGCACTACAGCACACCAACTGCATCCATCTCACTAAGTGAGCTAAAACTACAATCCTGAGCCAACCGGAATCGAACCCAGAACACAAGAGCTCGAATAAAAGAACTCTTTTAGAGAATCTATCCACTGATTCAGCTTATATTTTCTTAGAAGCAACATCTGAAGTAGCCTGAGTAACCGAAGAACACAAAATTACTTAAGAGTGCAATTTATTTAAACATTAGATAATCACAATGTTAATTTTTGTGCAAAGACTACTTTGCTAAACAGCACGCTGCTCATTGCTAGCGCCTATGCAAATACCCAAGCTAACTGAATCGCTTTGGAGTGAATTTGTGCACCCCTAGTTACAGACAGGAAAAACACGGTTCTTTGTGCCTGACGGTTTGCCATTAACGCCAGGCACTTCTGAGTTCAGTCTGTGTGTGCCCATCTCCTTCTTGATTCCCCTTCCTCACGTGTGTTCTGCCAATCCAACCTGTACGGCTGCTTCACCCCGCTCAGTTTTACAGTTCTTTTCATATCCCTCCTCACGTATCCACCACACCTTGCCAGAGCACCAGGCACCTGTCCCTCCAAGCGCATGCACACTTTGGAGGCACTCGCACGCTTTGATTAGGGATTAATAAACCTAAAGATGCACATTGGTAAAAAAAAAAATCCACGGAGGAACTGTTATGACAAAGGTGGTATTTAGGGTTGCTACTTCATTTCCTCTGGAGCCTAATGTTTTAAAAACTCTTAAATCCGTTTTTCTGTTAGTTTAAGAAGAGGGGAATTGTCTCAGTATCTTAGTAATACCCAGGAAATTCAGAGTTAGTGTTGGTACAAAAGTGGGTCAAAATGCAAAGAAATCACAGGTTTTGGAAGGGCTATATAACCTGACAGTCTACAAAGAAAAAAGCTAAAAAATTCTTATGCAAGATTCTCAGGAAAAATAAGTCTTGGCTGTTCAATTCCTTCCCAAATTAAATAAGGCAATACAGATAGCCTGCAAAGCAGTCAAACCAAACCCCTTCTTTTGCAAAGGTATCAACAGAACACGCAAAGAACTGCTGCAAAAAATACAACAATGAAGTCAGCTCCTAAGAGTATACCAAGCGTGCCTTCACAGCATTTTAGAAACTGATGGCAAAGATTGTCAAAACCCCCTTTTGCTTAGCCTAGAGCTGGCTGAACTAACGCCGTTTGCTGCGACTTCCCTCCAGCACATACACAAAATGAAGCGATCCTCCAGCTAAGCCGTGAGTCAGCGATCGATCCCATCTCTTCAGCAACTTCCCACTGCAAGATGCTGCCTTATCCAGGCCCCTCTCCTCCTTACGTGAAGGATTACAAGACCGATACTTCAGAAACCCACGTGTGTTTTAGTCTAGACCTGATTACAAAATCCTCTTCATGCAAAACACTATATTGTGGGAATATACAAAAGTGTTTCAAGAACAAATGAAGCAGCATTTCACACAACAGATGTCACAGCAATTGTTATGTGACTTAGTAATGAGCAATCTGAGGATCCATGTCAGATGTTTCTCGAAGTTTTGGAACTGAATCCCTACTAGCATCTCTACACACTTTCAGTTTTTAAAAACAGATCCTGAAAAACACCAGAATTGGCTGTTTGAACCTCTTCCTTCCAACACTGCACACAGTTCTTCAGAAAAGTCTGGAACATTTGCTCTAAGTTTAAGGACATACCTTGGGTGACTTAAGCTGCCTGCAGAAAATGCCTCTCTCTCTCTCCAACCACCGACTACAAAATAAAGTCAGGTTCTTATACGAGGGTGTTCCAAGTCACACACATTAGACCTTCAAAGCAGCCTGGAGCTGCCCTAGATGATTCATCTGCTGGCTTAGTTCTTTCTTTTTTGTCAATCTTCTCCCCACTTTCTAGAAATTCCTCATTTTCAAATACCTCATCTTGACAACCACATAAACAACACGGCATTTTATCCCATTCTATATAATAATGCAGCAGACACACACGGAAGTGTATTTAACCATTTAGTTTAAGGGTGGTTAAACCCCTGCAATTTACTATCCCAACACAGAGGTACACCAAACTCAAAGTCCCAAACGAAACTAGGTAACGTTTTACTGCAGAGAAAAATCTCTGAAGGGACTGAGAATGCAACAAGTCACTACAGGAACATCCTACATACTATGCATCACCATTTGCAGCTTAATAAAGTTACATATACATGCAAGGTTTCTTGTTTGTTGTTTTTGGTTTTTAATCCTGACGTACTTTCCATATCACCAGTTTTTCTGAACTGTACATTTTCTGAAACACACTTTAGGAGAACATACAGAAAAGATGGACTGCAAAGCCTCGTGCACCACATGTCTGAAATCGCTTCCAATACAAAAGTGTTTCATCTGGTCTGAACACAGTTGCACAATCTTTGAAAGTTTTGACACAGCAAAACAGGAAACTCATGATGCAAACTCTTGAAAACGAACTTTGGAAGTATTACACACACAATGGAGATTGTGGGGAGGAGGAAAGCAGAAGAGGAATAGGCTAGACTCTGCAGGGTCAACCTTAAACACACAATGGATGGGGTGCTGAGCAAATTCATTTCCTATTACATTGGGGGAGTTATGTAACCCTGTGGCACTTGCAGGGGGATTTATCAGCTATGGCAGCCAGGCCCTTCCTTCACCAAACTAAACCTGTCTATCTGAAAAAACACGGCAAGTACACTGGTTAGTCTTGCTACTAGAATTGACCAGCCTTTGTCTTTTATGAAATACAAGCATTTGCACATTTAGGGCACAGCAGTTTTAAGAAATGCATGTTATTTAAGCTGAACTTATTAATAATTTTATAACAATAGCTTAAGAACAGCTGAGAGCTTTATTTATTTCTTTAAAACTGCAGCACATGCAAAGCAACTCCTTCTCTTTACTGGTAGAGTTCAATACACATCCCTCCTCACGATATAGCACAAATGATAAGCATGATATAAATTTGCACATTATGTTAATAAAAAAATATGCATGCCTGCTCAAATACAGCAGCAGAGCAGCTGTGTAATCATTACATACCCACATTTGAAAATTCTGATC